CGTTTGACACTCAAATCATTTAGTTTTTTTTTTGTTTATGTCGTTTATTAATATTTTTATTCATTTTTTATATTTATATTTATTTTACATAATTGAATATGTAAATATTTATTGCTTTCATAAGCTCATAATGTTGTTATTGTTCTCAAATAAAATATATTTATTGTTGTAATTTGTATTTACAATATTAAAATATTAAAATAATTTTGAATGTATGACTTTTAGTCATTTATTTATTTTTATTTTTGTTAATTTAATTAAAAATTTTAATAGTTATAAGTAACAATAAATATATAAAACATAAATTAAATAAAATATTCAAATAAAATATATTATAAAAAAATATATTATATTTTTGTGGACACGAGAAAACTTAACTTTGCTATTATATATATACGTAGCTTCAGGATTCCATTTCAACACAAATTTTCGCACTACGAGCTCATCTCTACGTCGAGTCTTGTTTGAAAAGCAAATTTTAATGGTTGCGTTTATATACATGGCAAATATTATTATCTTACACTCTTTTTCATCAAAATTGCAAACGGAAACATAAAATTCAATAGGAATTATGAAGAGCAGAAAGAAACTCAAATGCACACTTTTTTTTTATCAGTATATTGGCATTCACTATTTCTTTTCCTCTCTTCTTACAAACACTTAACAGATGCAAATAAAAGATGCATATGATCTCAAAAAGGTACTTTTAAGGAGAAAATAACCTATTGATGAAAAAAGTTTTAAGCAGTGTCGGAGACCGGGAAGAGCTTTTCCACCATGTTGTTGGAGAGAATTCTATTTGGGTCCAGCTCCCTGCGTGCTTTGTTGTATGCATCCACCGGGAAACGTTTTCTGATTCTTGCTTGGAGGGCTTCAAGTTCCTCCTTATCCTTTGGTATCTGATTATACAAAAGACTCAAACAGTAAATGTTAGAAATTGTCCAAATAGTTATCTCAACAGATTCTCATTTCCTTTTGCTTGCTTTTCACAATGAGGACAATCGTATTCAAGAATCCCATATTTAGATTGGAAAATCTACAATTACCTCAATTTTAGCCCAATGTTCATACGCAGAATACTGATCCCACAACCGTGTCTGTGTCAAACGTCTATAGTGGAAAAATTCATCTGTGATGTCTTTCCTCTGGCGAGGGTCTGCTGTCGGGAGGTACATGATTATACCAACCTGACACAAAATGTAATGTAGCATATTATAAGCATCGATGGCCAGCAAAAAAGTCAGTGCTGGAACAAGATTGGAAAATAGCAAGAATCTACCAAGTGATACAACAATCTAGCCACTAAGAGTAAAGTATGTAGCATCATTTCTACCGGCTTTGTCTTTGTCTATGAACATTTTAGCATCAATGTTTCAAATGTTTTCTCCACAACAAAGGCACCAATATCTACCCACAGACTGACACCAATATCTCTTTATACTTATACTTATGAAAGTTGAAGGGAAGATAAATGAAAAAAAAAAAACAGAGAGAAAACAAGAGTTACCCATGAGAAAATGTCATCCTCCGCAATGCTGAATGCAGGACTAATGGGGCTCTTACTTCGAGCTGTCCAGCGCTGCTCTATTGGAGAAGGTGCGGGTATTGCTTCCTTTTCAATCAGTTCTTTCAGCTGTTCTATGTATTCAAGGTCTTTCATGTTTGGTTTGGCAAATGTTCCAGCAGGAAAACAAGTTTCTGATACCCACTGTTGACCACCACAGTCAAAGCCCAGAATTTCATCGCTCCACCCTACTCTATATCCTTCTGATTTTTTCCAAAACTCCGCCTCAGCTTGATTTACTTTTCCAACATGAACATCATTGAGAGGATCAAGGGCAAGTAGCTTATCTCTCAACTCCGTAAATGAAAGCTCGTTTATGTCTGGCTCCTTGCTGTCAGGAGACTTCTTACTTAACTCCTGGACCCTATAAATCACGGGGAAAATATTGTTCTGTATTTCATTCAATCCTCTACATTAGAGACAAAAAAATTAAAGCATAACGATACCTATACTTCACAATGCTCTCTCTATAGAGGTCACGGACATGTTGTAAAGCCTCATCTGTAGTGTACTTTGGTTTGTCCTTCGGTGCCCCAATCCATTTTGATATAGGGTTGCATGTTACAACCACGACTGTGTCGGTATAAGGAAGATACAGGTACTTCACATGCTTGTTTGCAGAGAGCAATTTTCTGAACAGCCAG